AAGGGACCCCCGCCCCGCCGCGCCCCGGGCCGGCCTCGGCCCCCGCCCGCCGACCGCCGCCTTCTCCCCCAGAGCTGCAAGCAGACGAGGTGCACCTGCCCGGTGAAGATGCGGCACGTGGATCCCAAGAGGCCCCACCGCCAGGACCTCTGTGGGAGGTGCAAAGGGAAACGCCTCTCCTGCGATAGCACATTTAGTTTCAAATACATCATCTGAGTGGGATGGGGTTGGTTTTTTTTGGTTTTGTTTAGGGCTCTTCTAGAAAGCTGCCAGTAGAGCAGATTCTTTTTGTTGTTGTTATTGTTTGAAGGTACTCAGTGAGGTGTAGCTAGGAAAGCATGCAAATAAAAGTATTGCAAAGCACGCTCAAATGATCAGGTGGGTTTGTGCCCAGCTCAGAGGGGGCATGTTGCAACTTCTGTAACTTGCATAGAGGAAGAGCCTACAGATAATGTTTTGTAAATCGGTGATGGTCTTGCCAGCAACCGACTCAGGACCTTGTAGAATCTCAGGTGGGAAAGGATGTCTGTTACTGCTCCTACCCTTGAACTAATCAAACACTTCAAGTTAACATCAAATCGACATCTACAGTAATAGTAGAGCACAATTCATGAACAAAACACGTAGTAGTATTCACTTACTGTGCACACTGCTATTCTGTGCAGAAAGTCTCCTGCACCTGTTCTTCATCACTAGAAAATGATTGAGAAATGCTATGTACAAACTAGGTCACTTCTACTGGTTCAGCTGGTCTGCATTTAGCTAAGCTGGTGTTCTTGGCCTGTAGACTAAAGCCAAAGAAAGCTTGTGGTTAATGCATCTTCAGGGACAGTTCTCATAAACCGCTGGGGAAGGCAGTCACTGATGTTATGGTCTCTTGGTAAATGAGTTGCCTATCTTTACTTTCACAACTTTATCAAGAGCAGTGATACTTCAAAGGCTCAAAGTATGATACTGCATCTGCCTGGCCTCCCCTTGTACCTGCAGGTGATGCAGAGCTGTGCACTTCATGACTTAAGAGTTTCATCTAGTTATGGTTTAGCTGTCTGCCATCAGGGAAGGATCAAACTCCCACACCCTTCTGGGACTGGGTTTGCAACTAGGAATTGTACTTTTAGTGTTCGGTAGTAATGGCAGAACCAGCATGGTTACTCCCAGATGATGCTCTCCAAGGCCTATTGGTGCTGTCAGGGGTAATGGCCTCTGTAGGGACACCACATTTCAGCAAAGCCTTACAAGCTGACTCTGGGACTACAGCATCACCATCTGAGCAGGTTCACAGCCTAGTAAAACCTACACCCCACTATTCTACACTGTAGCCAAGGAGCTGGGTAAACTTAAGAGGAAAATGCACTTTTCTGAGAATGCTAATGAAGCTGTTAATTCTTAAATTGAGCATAATAATGCACAAAGCCTTTTGCAGAACTCTTGAGGTAGCTTCTATTTGGAAAGACTGATTTATCTTGGCTATAACAAACTTACCTACGCCTGCACCCAGCTTACTTCAGACCACTCATTAAAGACGAGAGGGGGAACCAGTCTGAGCCCATGCTGTGTAACAGCTTCAGTGCCAGGTGGTCTTGCATCTCTAAATGGAAGCTAGTGTATGGCAGGGTATGCAAACACTGTCCGTTGTACCAACAAATGTCCGTTTAGAGGGGCAGTGAATGTTAATTCTGTAGGCTTAACTCATTTTGCTGTAGATTCCTGCATAATTTTAACATGCCCCATGAACTTGCTGCAGTAACTAAGGCTTAATGCCTCAGCACCAATTTATTGCCAAATAATTTCATTTATTCTTGCTCCATTCATTATTAGAGCAGCATGAGGCATTCTGGGAACAAGTTGACCTCCCACCCCCAGAACGGGGCAGTGTTTTATTTCGTGCTTCTACCTGAAGCATTTTCCCCTGTATCACAGTAAAAGGAAATATCCCTTGCTGTACCAGCTCACTTAAAGACTTTCACAGTAAGTTCTATCCCTGTCCTGTTCAGCCTGAAAAGTACCACTGCAGCTGGGCAGTCTTCTGTTGTAGATGCACGTGCCTTGCACTCACCTGTGGTTACAGTAATGAGCAGCAGCAAGTCTCCAGCTTGAGGAGCAGCACAGTTGAGGCCCCCTCTGCAGCCATCTACCCGGAGTCTGCCTCAGCTTGCGGTTGCAACTGTGACCTGAGATGTCTTTGCTTCCGAGCGTATTTGCGTCTAAGGATGTCCTTCAGTATGTTTTCCTGTTTGCCTTCCCCATTCTAATGGCTGTAGTCTGTTCCTGACGGATGCAGTGTGGGAGACTGACTGCGATGACTCTGTGCACCTTGGTAATGAGTTTGAGAAGTCAGTTAAGCTCTGTGCCACCTCAGCATGAAGACGTATGGCAACTCATAGCAATATGAGCAGTCGAGTGCTTCTTATTTATACAGATGTCCTCACAAGCATTGCTTTGAGGATTACTTGCTGTGAATATGGTGACTCTTATGCAATTATTATCAGTAATAGCCTGAAGTGAAATTTAGTACATCTTAGAGGTGTCATCCCCACCAACTACAGTCAAAGCAGCAGTTGCTTCTGTTTGACAAGGTGTAGAACAGGCCTAGCCGATCTGAACTGTATGGAGTGCTTCAACAGCAACTGGTCCAGCCAAGCAGTTGCCGAAGGCCCCAAGTGGCAGCAAAGAGCTGGCCCTGCCTTCATCAGCTGCTGCAAGGTTTTGAGGCTTGGAGGAGTGGGAGTGCGGTGTGCAGCGATACTAAACAAGCTTTCCTTCATCCTGTAGCATTCCTCATTCTGCAGTAGCTCTACATGTCATTCTTCTTACATAAATACATTCAATGCTTTTACTGCTCGATGCCAAAGTACAGTTCTATACCCTTTTCCGCTTTACCGCCCTGTCACGTCCTTGACAGCATATGCTGCCTATCGTGGACACTGGTTCCTAGACTCAGCAGAAAGAAGGAAAGCTACTCATGACCTGTGTGATTATGCGAAGTGGAAAGGAACAGTTTTCATGCTGCCAGTTCTTCAAAGATGTCTTGAACTTGCCCTGCGCAGCTTTTTCATGAAGAGATTCTTTTGCGTGTGTTAGCTCAATGCTGTATTCGTTGTATCTTAGAGCAGACAGCTTTACCATAGATTTGGCACAGGCCTGGCACCGGGTAATGTAGGGTGACAGCTTATGCGCTAGTTGAGAGGGAGTAATTTTGGAGAAGTGGATATAGGAGCAACCAGCA